TGTTCTGGAACAGTGTTGTAAATACAACTTAACCACTGATTTCTAGTCGTGTCCATTTTTGGAAGGCCAAACAAAGTAGTTTTCATTTCTTCTTTCTTTGCGTGAACATTTGGGCGGCGTTATGCAAATCTTCCCACATAGTGATGTAGATATGTGGGGGCGTGTTAGAACGAGCCGTTTTAGGTAGGCGTGGCTGACTCTTAACTTTTATAAAGAATATCTCTTTGGATTTGAGACTTTAGTCTTTGCAACTTTACAGATCTTCTTTATGCACCAAGAGCTTGTAACACTTCAAAGAGAAAGGAAAAATTTAAATCGCATCATATGACCCCTTTAAGAGAAGTGACTGAAATGCTTTAACATTTATAAAACTTAAGTTTATGTTTAGTCTGTAGATTTTGTTTAAAGTTCACATTTTAATGCTGTCAGGTGTACACACAAGTGTCTTGGATTGCTATTAACTCAATAAATTACTGGCAGCTCATAAGCTGTTTATTAAAAATGCAGGAGAGATGAACATTAAGATGATCTCAGCAGTGGATATAATAAATGGGTGACTGTTATTGAACACTTCAGTTCTGAATGATGATATTGATGCCGGCAGGTCTGCTTGAATTAATTCCTGCATGTTTCAGAGCATAATGTACATTAGTCAGGGTAGACGCCATGATTTATCATACACAAATGAACAAGATGGTTTGTACTGGTGTATACCTTGGTGTAGATCAGTGGTTCTCAGCAAACTTACAGGGGTTTCTCAGTAAGTTTTAAAATGATTTAAATATAGTTATATTAACCATATTCATAATTATAAATAATAAAGATGTAAAACATTAAAATTACTTTTTTTTTTTTTTTGAGTTTTCATTTTCTTACAACAAGTACCAGAGGTGCATATCAGCTAAGATTGAAGGCCTTCAAATATAGTCTTGGGTAAAGACAAGGTGGCAAAGAGTGGGTCAAAGAGTTTGAGTACCACTGGTGTAGATAATTCAGCCACCTCCAGTACACTGAAAATACGTCTTTGCAAAATATTTCCGTAGGACAAAAATTCAGGAGTTTTCATTCAAATAAAATTAAATGTAGCGTCTTCCCAGATTAAAGTATTTTTAATGATTTAGACTAACAACCTGTTGAGAGTTCTCACTGGTCTGTGAAAACACATGGGAATTTATTTATTTTCTTTAAGTTGAAATCAGCTGAAAATTTAAACAGTTGAACAGTTGGTATGTTAAGTGAAAGATGTTACAATAGATGTTACAATAGTGTTGATAAGGTATTCCTGCTAGCGAGGGCCCAGTTACTCATCCGCACTGCCCTCTTTTGATCGCCAGTGATGAGATGGGTAGAAATGTTTTCAGGGACATTTATTTCAAAAGAAGTGCTGTTTTCCATGATATTTCTACTTAAATAATTTGGTTGCTTGTTTGTGCGTGTGTGTGTGTGTGTAGGTATGATTCAGAGAAAGATAACTTTATCGATCTGATGGAGCTGAAGCTGATGATGGAGAAACTTGGTGCACCTCAGACTCACCTGGGCCTGAAGAACATGATCAAAGAAGTAGATGAGGACTTGGATGGCAAACTCAGCTTTAGAGAGGTAAATGCTTCAGTATGTCGAAATAATTTGTTTGCAGATTTGGCTGTATTTCACAGCAATGAAGTACATAATGAAGAGCTGCACACTTTACAGGAAACTACTTATATTCCCCCATTAATCACCTCAATTCCTTCCTTCCTCTTTCTTTCTCTAGTTTCTCCTTATCTTCAAAAAAGCAGCAGCAGGAGAGCTGGCGGAGGACAGCGGGCTTCATGTCTTGGCACGTTTGTCAGAGATTGACGTGTCTACTGAGGGAGTGAAGGGAGCCAAATCATTCTTTGAGGCAAAAGTAAAGAATCGTGACATTTAATACTATTTTCCACCCCTAAGTGAAATACATTTTTAACCATCAGCAGATTCATTCATAATTTTAAACCCCTTTTTAGTCTATGACAGCTCTGTGTTTCAATAACGACTGTAATTTCCTGCCTAGATAGGTTGCATTGAATGCCACTGATAAGGAAATTCAATTTAGAATTACCTCAAAATGTATATTTTTCTCTGACAGGTGCAGGCCATTAATGAATCAAACCGGTTTGAGGCGGAAATCCGTCAGGAGCAGGAAGAGAAGAAGCGTGAGGCGGAGGAGAGGAAGACAAGACAAGCTGCTTTCAAAGAGCTAAAATCAGCCTTCAAATAGCCTCATCCACCTCGACAGCCTCGATTTACTCATCCACTTTTGTCCGTCTGTCTGTCATCCGAGTCCCCTGCAGTCAGAGATACTATGCAAGGCTGTGAAATGCTCCGAGATCCATGCAGATTCATCTTCCTGAGAGAGGGACACCTATGTAGTTCGTGCTCATTAGCGGATGTCGGTGTTGAAATCGTCTGTTTTATCGTGGCCTGTTTCTCTCACTCTCACTTTTACTCTAAGGCTTATTTTAAATGTGAAGCCAGACACTGATCTCAATACACTGGATTGGATTTGTTCCGTTTCAGTCGCATGTGTATATATTTACTGTAGTTCATTCTCCCCATCGTTGCGTCAGCTTCGTTTTAACTGGAACGGCATTTTGTCTTGTTCTCGTCGATGTGTCAGTAGATTAAAATCTAACGGTTTAAAGGGTTTTTTTTTTTTTTTTTTAATAATCAACTAGTACGCTCAGTATGCCACATCCAGTCCATTGTATTCATATCAGTGGCAATTGCACTAGTGCAAAACATCATTTCCTGTTTAACCAGGAAATGCTTTTCACTGTACCGTGACTAACAAAACATTCATTGCTGACCATTTGAACATGACAGGACAAACATTAGTATACACCAGACCTCTGCTCTCGTTCACAGATACATTAAATAGTAAGAGCATAAAATAGCCTATATTTTTACTGAGCAGAGAGAGAGATGGAGAAGGGGTTTTGTAATAGTGTTTGCTGAGTGTTTATCAATATTCTCTTGCATGGCCACTGTGTCGTTTTTCCTACATGGTTCCCTTTAGTCTTTAAGGTGTTAAATGTGGCACATACGAGCTTACAATTAGTCTTTAGAATCAAAATGATGATGTGAAATGGCTGTACAGTCATTACAACTCTATTTCTTCAGCTTGTGTGGTTCATGTCGATGGAGGTGTTGTCAGGACAAGGTCATCTGACCGTTTGACCTCTGAACCCCTGTCTTTTGTGCTTCCATGTGTGCTGAACAAGTAACTGTGACATGCTTATGGGGTTGCTCAGATACCACAGATGGCATGAAATCCACCTCCTCAGCTTTTATATAAAGCGATAGTTCCCCCAAAAATCATTTACTCACCCTTGTGTCTTTCCAAACCTGTATAGCTTTCTTCTTCTTTGGTGTTTCACAGAAGAGAGAAGTTCATACAGGTTTGGAACAACATGTGGGTGAGTAAATTATTTGGGGTGAACTTTCCCTTAAAGAGTTAACCAACTAAATCAGTGTCTGGATTGCATAATATTAATCAAATTATTACAAGCCTTTGCACAGCAGCCCATGCTCAGTGAGATGAGGTGAAAGCAAATGTTTCATGCGTAGAATAAAGACATAATTTGCTTATGAAATATGCATGGCTTTTCTGTAGAGCCAGTGCATGTATTCCAACATCGAAATGTCAAATGTGTCTGAATAGGATCTAACACTTAAGTATTTAGTTTAAAAAATAGAATAGGCTTCAAAGTTTACTCTTAAATCTTCTGAAAAATGAGGGAACATTTATAATGAAATCATCCAAAAGCGTAATGAATACGCTTTATTGTCATGTGACATGCAGTACACTGTGGCAAAGGTAACTGAGATGCAATGAATAAAGACAAATCTATATTTTTGTGTGATGAAAATTAAACATAATTTTAGTTTTGTATGGAAAGGGGTCTTGTGAAAAGAAACTCTTATTTTCTCAATATGAATTTTGTTGCCTACAATCTTGTCTCCATTCGGCTCTCTGTGTATCCGATATACCTTAGGTTTTTCCATTACAATCTTATCAGTAAAGGCAAAATACCTTTAGTCTTTTCTATAATGGAGACAATACTGTTGGCAATTGCTATGCTTCATGTTGTTCCTTGTTTTTGTGTTCCGAGTCACTGGTAAATGTTCTTGTTTGCTCACTAGTTCAGGTGTATAATTATTTGTCTCCCAATCTTTCCAGCCATCCACATCGTCTTTTTTCTTTTATCTACTGTTCAATTTAAAGGTATTTTAAATATTGGCTGTTAAGGGGTGAATGTAGTAGTGTTAATGTTATTGATTGGTGAATGAGGAGTCGACTGATGACACCAATCAAACAACTGTTGCGTTCTGTTAGAAGCCATAAACCATTCTGTCATTCCTTTTGAGAGAATTTAGCTGTTCTGTTGTTGTCGTGCCAAATGATTTCACACTTCTGTACTGTTAAGCTTATTTTAGTGCAACATTCCACTGTAAAATTCCCTGAAGGATACTTCTGATCAACAGCCAGATTTAAATTAATATGAGAACAGCTAATTAGAATTTAGACTGAACATCACTGATCCATAATGTTAAAACTTTTAAAAAAAGTAATAACTCATTATTAATCGGTAAAAAACCATTTTACAGTTTTGGTTTTATTATTAATGTTTGCACATCTGAATAATTACATTAGAGCTTTGGCGGTATTAACTTCTGTGGATTTCTGTGAAAAAAAAAAACTGCTTCTTCCAAGGCAGATAACACAAAAAGCACAACATTGAACTTTTCTGTGAAAGGTGATGCCAGGAGGACGGAAAATGGCCGTGTAGTTCAACAATTTAATCTTATGGCATGTTTTATTGTTTCATTCATCATTCCAGTGATTTGACAACGGTTGAGAGGGCTTTGAATCATCCTATCTGTACCTTACTGTCGCTGTCTATGTCAGTTGAAACTCGTGGTTATGGTATCATACTCTTGTAGGCTTATGATATGTGGCTTCTATAATATGCACATTTATTTTTGATTTTCTTACTAAAATGTATAATTATTCTTGTGACAATAAAAATACTTTTAATTTGGAAACATTTTGTTTATTTGTGATTTATATGGTTATGTGTGTCATACTCAAACATATAACATGAAAAAGATTTAGATTTAGGAAATAAGCAATTCAATATATATTAGAATATATAAATATACAGTGGAGATCAAAATTAGAGAACAATCTATAAATACTTGATTTTTTTCTGAAGTATTGTTAATCTTCATCGCTCAAAATTTGAATGAATATTAGCTGCGAGTATACCACTGTTATACTAACAACAAGTTTGACAAAATAACCAAGGCATTTCAACAAAAACCTTTGTTTTGTGGAAAACAGTGATTAAAATTAGAGAACAATAACCAGTGTAGCACAAAAGAAGATAACTAATATTTTGGAGGGTTACAGCTGTTAGAAATTATTAGGAAGTGTAGAGGCCCTTGCTTTGAATGACTTCAGCACATCTGCGGTCACTGGATATCACTAGTTTCTCACACTGTGTTGGTGTGATCTTGGTCCATTCTTCTTCCAGTCTCTTCCATAGCTCGGTAACTGTAGTGGGTTTCTTAGCCATAACTTGGTCGAAGATTTTCAGTTGGGTTTAGATCAGGACTCTGGGCCCGCCATTTCATTATTTCAATGTTCTTAGCTTCAAGGAACAGCTTTACCCATTTTGCAGTGTGAAGGGGTCATTGTCTTGCATGAAAACTGCAGGCTGATTGGGAGATGCTGCAGGGAAGGAACTGCATGTTGCTGAAGGAGGTTCTGATAAACATTTGCATTCAACTGCCATGTATCTGTATAAGAGGCCCGACTCCTGCTGCAGAAAACATCCTCCAAACCATGACACTTCCTCCTCCAGCTTTCACTGACTTCTTTACACACTCGGGGTTCAGTCTTTCCCCAGTTTGAAGAAAATGTTTTCCATCGGTCCCAAATAAATTAAACTTGCTCTCATCACTAAAGTGAACTTTGGACCAGTTCTCCTCTCTCTCCACACAACATGCTCCTCAGCAAAGGTGAGTTCAGCTATTTGATGAGGCTTCATCACTGCAGAGTGCACTTTCAGTCTGACTTCTCTTAAACAAGCCGAGACAGATCCGTACCCTGTTCAGCACTGAACTGGCAAGCAATTCCAGCTGCAGTGTTGAACCAATTCTCCATCGAGAGTCTCCGCATTATCCTGTCTTCTCATTTATTTGTCTTACGTGGACGGCCAGTCTTTTTGGGGAACTTGAATGAATTAGTGTCATTGTAAACCTGCTATATTCTAGAAATAACAGATTCGGAACGATCAGCTTCTCTTGCAATGGCTGAAAGCATCATCCTTTTGGCCTTTGTCTGGACAACCTCCTGTTGCAGGGTTTCAGTCACCTTAGAGCAGCCTGCCTTGCAATCTCTGTGAAAATTAGAAGAATGCTGCCAGTTAAATAGGGTTTATCATATAATTAAGGAAATTAGCACCAGGTGCCAGATTAACACCAATAACATGGAGGTAATTTTGATCAGAGTTCTTTTTCAAATATCTCATTTAAGTTTTTTATATTGTGCTTCAGAATACAATTAATTTATGAAATATGCTTAAAAACTGTCCTTCTACTCCTGTTAGGATCACTTTAAATAGGACTAAGCAGTGACATTGAAATTTAGGAAATTGTAGGTTGTTCTCCAATTTTGATCTCCACTGTAAGTAAATATAATTATATAAATATAATACAAAAATATATAAAATACATTAATGGAAAATTGTCACAGAGAAGGTGTGACAAGAACTAGAGGGTCATTTGAATACTAAAGTGCACATGAGTAAAGCACTCCATTTACGAAATTAATGTTTTGTAAATTACCTTTACACCTTTGTAAATTATTATGAAATCAAGTAACCAAATACTATCACTAGGTGGAGCTGTTTGCAAGACCTCATCTGTCGACGCATGAAATATGTTTTTCTCTATTTATCTCTAAATTACAAAATATAACGTGAACACTTATGTTTGCGCTTGAAAACACGCTTGGATAAATGTTCACGGAAACGCAATCTATCCCGGAACTATTGTTCACAATTCTGATGTGAATAGATATGTATCTATTCTCCGGACTGTCGTACTGGTTGCACACGGAAGTGTTAATCACGTGACACATGCGTAAATATTTCTCTTAAAGCGAATGATCCCCGACTTCGCTGTTTTATCTGCATAAATGATTATCGACTTAACTTTTCCTTAGTTTAAACTGCGTAGATTTTGTCTAGTATCCCCAATTTATTGCAATATTCAAGCTAAGCAAGACAAAATGAACGTGGATCTTCCGCAAACCGGACAGACTGGAGCAGCAGCCGCATCCAGCAGCAGCAACTGCGTCCCGAACAGCACCTCCACAAACGCCAGCAGCATCCCTGCGGTCGGCAGCAGTAATGGTGGGTGTTTTTTTGTTTGTTTGTTTTGACAGTTTGAACGCGCATAGAGTTGCTGTTGTCTTTTAGCCTTTAGCTCCATTAGTGTTGGTCTGTAAGTTTGTAAATATGGAGAGTAGTGTATTTGTAATCTTTATTATTCGTGCAGTTCTGAAGGTCTGTCCTGTCGTACTTTCCCCCCTCACAGTTCCCACTTCGGCAGCCATGGCGACCCCATCATCCGACTCCAGCGTGTCAAACGGGGTGTATGTGCCCACAGGCATCGCTAATGGAGACGTGAAGCCCGTTATCTCAACCACACCGCTGGCCGATTTCCTGATGCAGCTGGAGGATTACACTCCTACAGTCAGTACACATATGATTGCAGTACTGTGTATATTCTTTGCTTATTGATGGTATATTCGGAGTAGCACTGTTAACAGACGGTCTGTGTTTCAGATCCCAGACGCAGTCACAGGATACTACCTCAACCGAGCTGGTTTTGAAGCATCAGATCCAAGAATGTGAGTTGGAACAATGTTCTCTCAGAAAGCAATTATGTAGTGGTGCTACATTTTTTTTTACAGTTTAAAATTTAGGTTCTTTAAGCAATTCTTTTTTTTTTTTTTTTTTAAGGATCTTTAAATAAACTATAACTAAAACTATTAAAAATCATTTTGTTAATTGAAATAAGGCTGAAATAAAATATATTAGATTAAAAACTTAAAAATGAGAAATGTTGCTTTGGTAACTAACTGAAATAATTATGTTTGAGTCGAAGTACTGAAATTACTTAATCTAAAACTGAAATAAAAATCAATTAAAGCTAAACAGAAAAAAAAGTAAAATAATAAATAAACTAAAAATAAAAAATTACGAAAGCATATAATAAAATTACTAAAACTTTAAAATAAAACATGAAAGTATAAAAAGGTGAATAAATACTATAATAATATATAATAAACAGTTATTTATAAGTGTGCCCTACAGTTTTGTTGTCTGGCACTTTAAATGCTCTAAGTCTGATTAGCTGTGAAATGTTTTTACCATTCATCAGCTGGAAAAAAAATCACTTTAGAAAAGATACCAATGATATCATTCCCATGTCCTTAATTAAATAGAGGTAGAATGATTTTTAAAGGGGTCATATGATGCGATTTCAAGTTTTCCTTTCTTACACCAAATACACCAAATAATGATCTTTAAAAAAGCATCATATGACCCCTTTAAAACTATATAGCTATTGTCCTGTGAATGGGCTTAAATAACACATTTATGTCTCATGAAGAGTATTGCATTGTTGGTAATACATTAGGCCAATATTAAAACACTGAATTTCTTAATAAAAATATCTGGTGTATCATTTATTCATCAGGGTTTTAAAAAAATGCTTGAATCATGAATCTTCCTTGACGTCTTTATCCCCTTGTGTGTTGTCAGAATCCGTCTCATATCTTTGGCATCGCAGAAGTTCATCTCAGATATTGCAAATGACGCACTACAGCACTGCAAAATGAAGGGCACGGCCTCTGGAAGCTCCCGAAACAAGACCAAGGTTTGTGTTCGCAAACTGTGCTTAGTACAGTAACATATTATACAGTAAATCTATATAATGAATGTTTAATCTGCAGGCCAAATAAAAAATGTGTTGTAAATATCTCTCATTCACACTGTTCTCATCTCGCCTCCCAGGACAAGAAGTACACGCTGACAATGGAAGATCTGACACCAGCCATGGCAGAGTATGGCGTAAATGTAAAGAAACCTCATTACTTCATTTGAGGGGAAGTGCTTCATTGAAATGGACTGCTGGAAATGTGCTGTTTGTCCCATCAGAGCTTTGAAGGCATTATCCTTCAGCGTGGGAACCATCAGCCCACTGGCCCACAGCTTTTAGGGATTTAGCAGCTTTTTTGTATTTTCTTTAAGTGTGCTTAAGTTGTTTGATTACACCACACCGTGTGACTTTAGTTGATGTAAGTAAAAATCCTGTATAAATAAATTCATTGTAATTAAGTTCTGTGTAATTGCACGTCTTCTGTTACTGAAGCCTGTCGAGTTCAGATATATTAAAAATGAGTCTTAATTTAACCACTGCTTTTACATTTGTGACGTCAGTTCATACACTGTCTGAACTTCTCATCTCTGCTTTATGGATTCAGTTTCATGCCATAAGAGGCTTGAGCTGTAACGTGTTGCAGTATTAATAGTACCTGGAGCTGCCCTCAAGTTTCTCTCTCTACAGTGTAGTACAGCTGCACTGGCCATAGACTGCTCATCACACCATCTGTCTACAGCAAACATGATATTAATAATAATATTTAAGTACTAGCTTTTGCTTTGTGCTATTTGCAGTTGCACTTCATCTGTATGTGCCCACAGGCAAATTTAATATAGATGTAAAGCTCAATAATAGAGTCACAGGACAGTTATATTAATATTAAAGCTATTCAGTAAAATTAAAATGTAATTATTACTGTGCTCTTATTTGAAAAACAGTGAATTAATATCATTTATTTTTTGTGTTAATATTAAATGTATTTTATTAAATTATTTGCATATTTTCCAGATAATTTATATAACACAATATGAATCTAAATGACTAGAGAGGACTGTAAATCCCATATCCCAAGAAAAATGTGAACATCTCTTTCATGTTTATTAAATTGCACTTTTAACTTCATTACATATTCATTTGCAAGACACACACAGGCTGAGGTGGAAAGGGAAAACGTGTGTATCTAAACAACCCAAATCCATCAACAAAATTTTGTACTTTGCAATGAAATATAAAAATGTGCTGAACAGAAGTGACAGATCAGACATTATACAAGAGAAAATACAGCTTTAAGACGTCTATCTGTGGCATCGGTCAACACATTCTTTTAAAGTTCAGCTATACTTTGAAAAGGTGCAACTTTGCAATATTCAGTGAAGTCACAAGCAAAATTATTTTATTTGAGGACTTCTGCTGCTACATTGAGAAGATTAAAAAAACAGGTACATTGTTGCTCAGTGAAAAACTTCTAGAGCAATAGTTTTTTTTTTTGTTTTTTTTTACGTTTCAGTGTTATTTTAGTCAAGTATCGGCACTATTTTTGCTGTGCATGCTTTACATGTAAATGTCTACATCTAATGTCCCTAGAAAACTCCTCTAGCCCAAAAAATGTGTCAGTGGCTGTGGGTAGTGCACACACAAAAAAAAAGTCATTCTCATGGGGACACAATTTAAATCCAGCCTGCATCACGCACTGATCCCATTCCCACTGTCCTATATCCATCTCAGCTGTACTATACAACAAATATACAAGCCGTTAAATGAAAAAAAAAAATAATAATAAAAAACAATCCTTTATCCTTTGCATACTCCAGAAAAAAGGGGAAGTTTCTCCATGTATAAGCCAATGGCCGACATTTCATTTTCAATCCCATTATGAGGACTGAGGAAGATTCTTTTGAAGAATGTAAAGGCTCATGTGAAACATATGAATATGTACTTCAATTTGCAAATAAAAATCATTTCATTAAGCCTTTATTGGACATTATAAGCCCTTCCTGCCTCTTTTGTAAGTCACTTTGGATAAAAGCATTTGCTAAGTGAGTAAATATAAAAACACATTTTCCATTTAAATTAGATAAAAAATGAAATGAAAATGAAACAAAATCTAATTTATTTTTAGGACCAGTATGTTTTATGTATACAGTATGTTTTTTTTCTTCTAAATTTCTTCTTTAAAATCTGCCAAATATTTTCTTGTAAACAAGATGTCAGGATGATAATTCTTCCATTCAGTATTTTACCACAGGTACATGTGGCAGACAAACCAAAGAAAAGACTTGCCTTTGTGGCTCTATGTCCACAGATTACAAAGTTTTTAGGCATTTGTCAGTGTTATGTAACTCACTCAACTGTAAATGTTCACAGAACAGAGTGTGAACAAATTTATTGAGGATGTTTGGTAAATTCAGTCACCAAAAAATAAGTCCTAAATCAGAACAGCCATCAGAAATAAAAATCACCTGACTTCATATAAATAGCAGTAACGTTGTTCAGACAGGCGTCCTTTTTTTATGTTATTTCTCTTACCATCTTTGAAAAAAGTACCCTTCAAATCAACAAGTGCACTACCTGTTCATAAACTGAAGTAAGTGATTTTGGACAATGGCAGAAGACTTAGGCTGATGACGTCTTATGAATTTGCTGAATGTCTCTCAGTGTGTTACTACACCGCACTAGTGTTTTCCTTGGGTTTGGTTGACTTGGTGCCGGGTGGAATTGGGATGGGACGGCGTTTACGTTTTGTTACCTTGCCGCTCTGCCCGTTAACAATACTCTGAGCCATGCCCTCCATATCCTCCACGCCAATATTAATGGCTTCTGCCAGCTCTTTCCTAGTCACAAATACAAACTGTGGGTCCTCAGCCAAGGAGTCTAGACCACCGTCTCTCAGTGCCTGAGGATTCATGCAAAATACATAGTATTTATTATAGTATTTTATACAATAGTCTTTCCTCAGAAGGTACGGAATGAATGTTAAGTACATGAGATGTGGCCTGGGGCATTTTACCTGCTGAATGAGTTTGTCGGTGGCTGGTGAAGCTTCTGTTGCTTCTCTCTGGTTCTTTGACACTCCATATGAGGGGTTATAGGGGAACTGAGAGAGTCAGACACACACGGAGGAGTCAGAGAGGAATATCAAGTAGTCACTGGACAGTGTTTAGCTCAGGAAATGTGACACCTGTCCACACCTGTGTGATATCAGTCCTCACAGTGAAATCTGACAGCCGTCTGTCATCAGCGCTTGAGGCCCCGCCCACATACAAACTGGAGTCTCCTATTGGTTGCACAAGAAATAATGTCATTTATACAATAAAGTGTGTAGATTACTGTCATTATGATTATTATCAACTGGATTTTTTCATGGTGAAATGATTATAAATGGCTTGATAGATTATAATATAAGTCTTTTATGCTCACAAAGGCTGCATTTATTTGATCAAAAATACAGTAAAAACAGTAATATTGTAGAATATTTTTACAAATGAAAATGTTTTCCATTTTAATTGATTTTAAAATGTAATTTTTTCCTGTGATGTGAAGCTGAATTTTCAGCAGTCATTATTCTAGTCTTCAGTGTCACATGATCCTTCAGAAATCATTCTAATATGCAAATTATTCTTAAACAGTTGTGCTGCTTTAATATTTTTACAGTACAGTACAGTAAAAACATGATTTTCAGGATTCTTTGATGAATACAAAGATCAAAAGAACAGCATTTATTTGAAATATAAATATGTTGTAACATTACAATGTCTTTACTGTCACTTTTGATCAATTTAATGCATCCTTGCTAAATAAAAGTATTCATTTCTTTAAAAAAAAATTATATTGAGCCCAAACTTTTGAACAGTAATGTATATGGTGGCATTTGTTAGAGTGCCTTTAAATAAAAATGTATTTAAAATTAATAACATTTAATAAAAAAGTAAATCAGTTTTTTTCAATGTAATAATGTAAAATAAATGACTGAATTACAGTAAAGTTGAGTATATAATTTAATAAAATGCTTAATTGACCTGAAAACAATATCACAATTAAAAAGAAAAAAATCTTATGACTTCTAATAAAAGATAACATTTTTCTAATGAAAAAAAAAGAAAATATAAATTTGTTTATTCTTTATTTCATTTTTTTCCTCGATCACCTACTCTTTTCACTTATGTCCTCGTATGAATAGTTTCTGGTTGCAGCAGCTGACAGTGACTCGCTTTCAAATGTAAACCTGGATGACATACTAAAAACAGCATCAAATGAGCATTGTGACCTTTACAGATACACATTAAGTGCATTTTTCATTATAGTTATCCACTCACTCTTCACTGAAGTTGGCATTGTTATTGGTGTTGGTTGCTGGCATGTTATCAGGGAAGAACTCAGTGTTCGGGAGGAAGACGGAGTCTGGAGGTGACTCTACATCCTCCAGACGAGTCTCCACAAACTGCAGGGGCCTCTGGCTGGTCACCTGTGTGGAGAGAGGGCTGCTGGGCTCAGAGGAGAAGGGGTCTCTGTTCAGTCCAAACAGACCTCCTGTCCGCTGCATAGATAGAGACACAGAGACTGTAAGTCTGAATGGACGGCTTAGTCTACATTTATCTATTTCCTTATGAAGATGCTTCAGTGCAGACCCTGTAGATGCCCTCCTCTCCGGCCTCCATGGCACGCTTCATCTCATCCTCAGCGATCAGGTCACCTGAGATGGCCCTGTGCAGCTCAGGTGCTGCTTCCTCCTCGATGCTGCGCAGACCTGCCTGCAAAGTCAGACGGAAGTCTTATTAGTATTTTGCTAGAAAAGTGTCCTTTTTATGATAGTTACTACAAACATTTATCATAAAGTGCACCTTAATCTCATCAGCGTTCTTCTTGGTGGGCCTGTAACCGTAGTATTCCGCCTGCCGCTTCATAAACTTGCGGAAGTGTTCCTGAATCAGGAAGGTTGCATAGAACTTTCCAACAGTGACTTCATCCTCTACAGCCAATAAAATGACATTACAGTCAGACATGGATTGTATTTAAAAAACTTGTTATTTAAACATAAATGACTATCATCGCAGCTATCTCACCTCCAATGGGCGGAATGACCTGGTCCAACAACTTCATACTGGTCCTCTTCCAGATTGACTTAATGATGGCTCTCAGCTCCTCATTGGCCTGCTCAAAGTTTCCTAACAGAAAAACGTAAATTAAATACTATGCTGCGAAATAAACTGCTAATTGAATTTGATCTTAATTACACACCTTCAGTTTTGATTTTCAAAGCTGTTCTGACCAATGCGAAGAGTGTGGCGTTGAAGGTCACTGTGCCGTCGCTGTTCAGCGGCATGTTCATGGAAATCAGGCGCTGAGGTGGAAGTTCACAAATACAGATTTAAAATATTCACTGAAATACACTACTGATCAAAAATTTTGGATCAGTACTTTTTTAAAATTAAGTCTTGGATGCACTGAATTGATCTAA